ACAAGTGGCGTTCGTCAGGGTTGTCTAATTTCCCCATTTTTGTTCAACTTCTTCGTAGACTCCACCATGGAGTGTTCCGTTGTGGAATGTCAAGATAAAGGCATTGAGGTGATGCCTGGTGGAAGGCTAGTTGATCATGATTATGCGAACGATATTATCGTTCAGTTTAGCGATGTTGGGGCGGTGCAATCAACCCTGCTCTGTATAGAGTGATTCCATTATTTGGTATACGCTTCGCACCCTCAAGGTGGTAAGTGTTGTTGCAGGACCACTAGCCATTTTATGCCTCCTTGACCCTTGGTGGCGAGGAACTCGAAGTAGTTGATCACTCCACCTAACTTGGCAGCTGCATAGCAAACGACTAAAGTCACATGCATTGCAAAAACTAGAACTGTCTTTTTGAATCTGCGACATCCTTGATGTCAGAAAAAAGTTTCCCTCGATCTGAAAGGTCGTGTTTACATGGTTAATAGCGCGGGCCGTTCTACTCTATTGGATTGAGGAACTGAAGTGTCTTCAAGTCTTTGACCATCCTTGCTGGTGTCGGATGGCATCAACGTGTCCGCAACGATGATGTCTGTAGGCGTCATCATTAAACACCTTAGCTAGAGGTACAAAACACCTCAGTTACTGTGCCGCATGATGCGTGTAAGCAAGTGCTAGGCAGTGATAATTATGGCAGTTCCTTAGAACAACAGCTAGCAATGAATAAGTTGCGTTGGTTTGGGCATGTACTACGCATGTCCGGTTACTGCTTGCTCAGGTAGGACCTTTTGTTTGCCTGATGTAGGGTGGCGCAAAACTCGAGGTAGGGAATGGTTAACTTGGCAGCAGGAAATGAAGGCACTGACTACAAAACTTGCTGTTGGTGCCTCTTGCTTTGCAGGCTGGAGTCTACGTGACCCGTTTTGTGCTTGGCTCGACATATTACAGGACAAGGCTTGCAGTCGACAACATTGCCACGTCTGCTGCCGGTTCCTAGTAGGACTGCCCGTTTAAAGTGTGTTTGGTGCTGTTATCTGTAACTTAATAGCTGGTTATAACGCGTGCAGTGAAAGCTGCAATCAAGCTCTCGCTGACGCCGCCTTACACGCTTTACACGATGGCCAGGTGTTTGGGACGGTATGTTGTTAACACAAGATTTAGGCATCTTGACCCTGAGTCTTTGTTTAAGAGACTAAGGTGTTATGCTAGGCTCCTCTTATCTTCCTCTTATTATTTTTCGCTGCGTAGGTCACCCGGGTTGTACGGCAACGAAGCATCATCAGTCCAGATGGCTGATGTACTGCTGCTGATGGTAATGATGATGACTGTTTCCGACTTATAAGCGCCTCACGGACTACATTAACCGTATGTTCCATCTGTTTAGATTCTAAATGGTTCTCAGTGGCGAAGACAGCGCTTGCTGCATAATTCCTTCTTGCACCTCTTCGCATCATTCCCAGTCTTGCTTAGCCTCGGTTGCACATTGCTGTTTGGCCTCCATTGCTGTCATGCATCTACACGTTACCTGTGAATCGAGGGCTGTGATAATTCAAAAAGCCCGTTGTGTCGTGTAGTGTACCACCTATTAATACCAAAACCTCTAACAGGGTTACGCAATCTCTTTGCGTATCTACAGTTAAAAACCTGGCCTAGGACGTTGCTCCCAGTTTTCTTGGATATTTGTATTTCTTACTACATCTATATTGTCGATCTAGTTTATCCTCCAACTGGGACCCATGGACTTGAGTTAGAATCCAATAGCCGTTATCTATCGGCACTGGCGCATAATTTGGAAACCTAAAATTGCTTTTCTCGCTTATAGCACATACCACCGGTTGAACACAAATCTGCAGAGTACTCACTCATCCTCGCACGTGGTCAACGTGTTTAGTCCTTGAATTATTTGATTATCAATCTTACTCTTCATACGTCGTTCTTTTTCTACTTGCAGCAGATCCTGGTAGATTCTATCAGATAACGCGACTCTTCTGAATGACCTTGTCTGACTTACGCTGTTCACCATTGTTCAGATCTAATAGCGGACTGACGTTCTACTCCTCACCGCCATCTATTTTCCAACCCCATCACTCTCCTTATTCTCTCGCAGATTCACTGCAACTTAGATGTCACGGTTAGTTCTTAAGGGCTAATCCAGTCAATAATGTATTAACAAACCTGTTCCGCACTGTACTGCAGCACGGCTGTAGGAAATTACATGCCTCTTCCATTATCTAATCTTTCGGATATTCCTTCCTGCTTTTAGAATTTCAACAAACAGACCAACTGACCACACCGATAGCCTCGGGTTCTCTTTCAGGCTCCAGTCTGGCGGCAGATATTAAGAATAAATAGCACGTACATTTCTCATGGTTTACGAAACTGTCTGTGGCCACGCAGACCAACATGTACAAAACTAACCATGCTCTTGCATGAGTGATATGTACAGGTGGACTTTTGGGGTATGCGTTTTATGCATTATCGCTTTTGTGATTAATTGAAGCGAAAGCCAAGGTTTGGAAACGTCGACATTTAGACATTTTTGCTGATTTGGGATTTTTCTCATGTGAATATAAACCTCATGGTATTCAACTCGAAGCAGTTTCAGAGCTTGTTACTAAATTTTGCCACATTGTCACGTGACCTGAGTATGATTGGCAGTTCATTTCACAGGTAAGTAAATCTTACCAAGAAGATATTTAAGCGAATTCTTGTTCTGGCCTTTGGTATAATCAGTGGATAACCTTAGTTGCGTAGCTGCATTGTAGTTCCAGTGTAGGCAGATCGGAATAGGTTTTCTTCTCTAGCAGGTTGTAAAGCAGTGACAAAGTATGCTTTCCTCGTCGCATCGAAAGTCGTTCGAGTTGAAGTTTGTTGCAACGCTTTCGATAATTCATGGCAAAGTGCTTACCAATCAGACGTTTGATAAACCATCTGTGCAGGTGTTCTAAAAGAATTCCCTATTCCTCATATTGTTACAGTAATCGAATTTGGGGCGGATGAGTAACTTGACAACCCAACTTACTTATAGATTGTGTGGATTTTGTTGGATATATTAAACCCAGATTGTCCGGCACGTACTACTTCGTACTGTGTCTGTTCGGAATAGTTGAAGGCAGATGACTGCCTGATTCCGAGATTACTCGTGGACAGCTGCATAGGGACACGTTCATGATTTAGTGCAGTAGGTCCTTCGGGGATGGCACAGCCATATGACATGATGCATGACTTTTTAGCCGAAAAGTTCATCATCAACAAGTTGCGCCATGTTTCGAGGGAATGTAAATCATCTTGAATGAGCAGTAGCACTTTGTGAAGTTCGTCACACCGAAGCTTATAGACTAGCTTGATATCGCCTGCGAATAAAAGTGTCCGACCATATTCAAAGAATGTGGTGATTTCATTGATCTTATGCTCCTGATCCAATGTCTTCGCATCTTACTGCTATTGAATTTCTTACCCCACTCACTCCGACCTTGCGCGATGCTCTGCATTCTTTTGCTTTCCAGGTTGTGGAGATTGCAGGGATGACAGACCATCTTCTGAATGAATGCGAGGTGTCTCCTCCTGGCCATTACGTCCGATGTGATCGTTGCTCCGAGGCAGTTGTCACTTCGGAGCTGCACACACATGCGTGCATTCCTTGCTCCCTGACTACTGGAATGCGTTGTCCATTATGCCATGGAGATCTACCGTGGCCCGTTTCTGACGCTGTGACCCTCGTAAGCCCCGAAGATGTGTGGAAAGCACATTTGTTAGGCCTCGATCCAAATAACATACCAGTTTGCTCTGGGAATCCCCGAAGGCTCGTGAGAACTCAGAAAGCTCTACATTTGAACTCGACAGAGTACAACGTTTCTTCGAGGCCGAGCAAGACTTCGAATCAGAAAGAGGATGGCTTTTCGCCTTCGGTGTCAACATTATCAAGTTAGCGATTCTGTATTATTTGATCCACAACTTCAGTAAGCATTTTGTGACCGGAAACATCACTGACACTCAGTCTTGTATTCGCGACATAGGAATTCCCCTGTGTGCTTTCCACACGTGTTTTGCAGTATACGGGACTCACCTGCTGTCGTTGCCAAGTGCATTGGCCGAAGATCGCTTTTTTAGTTGTATTGTTAGTCTGTTAAGATACAAAAACATTTCCCGCAATTTCTGTCTGCCTCTATAGCCGTCTCATGCCCCCTCCATCCTAGTCATTGGCCTACGTTGTTGCAATAAGTGGAGACGAATCTTACGGTAAACGAAATACCAACTCGACACCCACTGTGGAGTACTTGGATTATTTTATTTTCTGTCCTACTAACCGGAACGAGCATTTTCTTCAAGCATGATAAGATCACTTTCCGGTGCTTGCTACTGGGGCCGTTGGAAGTGCTCACAAGTCATATCCTCACTGATTACCTTGAGGGTTGTTTTGGTGCATTCGGATAGAAGATTTGCTCTCGTTGAATTATCAAACATGTTTCCTTTTTATTTCAGCTAAAACCAAGACCGGGATACCCCGTCCAAAAGCAACAGCTAATGTTCGGCCTGTGTGATTATATTCCGGGAGGTTTTCGTAACCGCACTGATCTCTCAGCATTGCCAGTCTCTACCGGTGATATTCGAGTCGCTACCTTGGCCTGTTATGGACTCATTTCACAACATATCAGTCACTGGACACAGTGGAACACACATTCATTATCCATCGTATAACTGTGCCTGCTTCCCTTATTTTCTGCGCTTCATCCAAAGTCCAACGGTCGCGCTTTTGACCGTATCTCAGCAAAGGTTTGACCAAGAGACGTATGGCGCTCACTTATGACGTTGCTTTGCTTGACACAACTTGTCTCATGTGTACATTCCCGTAGAACCTCCCCGTTATTTTATATTGACTTCGACTCTGCTTCGCTCCTGTAAATGTCCTGATGGTTTGTATGCGATGTGCTGTTGAGCACTTCAATTTTTGGTATCCAAGTACCGCAAAACTCTTTTCTCTTTGCTATCGTTCCCCAATCCTTTAGGATTTATGCATTTTTGATCGTTAAGTCATAGTGATTTCGGTCTAACTCACACACTTTCACGCGTACACAGTGGCATCTGGTCTCACCAATCACGTCGAACATCATTTCGGGTTTGTTTTCGGTGGTTAATAAAAACTTGGTGGGGTGAAACCTGTGAGATGGTAGATGAAATTATACTGTTTCATACGATGTAACCATGGAATTTTATCATATTCGGCTATAGATTCAGACCAGACCATAAAATATAGGATGATGCCTACAAAAGTAGCTAATTTCAATCGCGCTTAATCAGGCTGTTGTGACTTCCATCAAACGTACCAGCCACTGGCCGTTTCTGTGCCACGACCGCGATGTTGGAAACTTCGGTCGTGTTGTTCACGCTGGATGCTTTTGGTCCCTCTGCTTCGGGCCGTTTTGTTGTCATTAGACGCAACGCCTGCTCGTGTTGATCTCTTCCTGCTTATTGACGGCGCCACACTGATTCACATGCCCGTAGACTTACGGCGGCACCGTATTATCTCAGTGTGTATGTCCAAATTCCCCTGCATCTGCAAGCACGGTCAAGGGGCTGCTTTTGCTCCCACGCCCATCATAGAGGGCGACGTACATGTTCTGTACATATCGATGTAGCGAAATACCGTCTGATTATGATTTCTCTTTGCCATCCCCCCACTTGCCCCGCTGTTAAAACCTTGTTACCTTATCTATTATGTTGTTCCGACAATATCAGTGCTCTCGACAGGTTTTCTGACCGCATCTTTTTCTCCTGACGCTCTTGTCTATACTTTCTTGTATCGGTGGCATTCTTTCTGCTGTGAGGCTTTTAGTCCTTTTTCGGTATTCCCGATGTTACTTCCGATTCGGCACTTTTCACTATTTAGTCGATAGTAACCAATGAGTTTTGTCCTGGTGTTACTCGCCCGAAAACTGCACTCCATGACGCGTTTCGCTGTTATTACATCTCGTCAGATAGAGATGGTGGGTATCGAATCCGGGACCATTGGTATGTCACTCGTGACCGCTACCCGTAAGCCACCGGTTCACGGCTGGCAATGCTTGGCACAACGTTATAATGAACGATGTTGAGGGTTATTTTGAAATACACCTTGTGTTGATGGATTGCGCCACGCAACCTCAGTGCTGACTGTAATTCCCATTGAAGTGAAACTTGGTCTTTCGTTCAAGAGGACCGTAGCTGAAGTGTTTTCTGGCGAGAAACACCCAGTTTCCTTCGGCTTCATCAGCTACGGTCCTACTGATCAAATGACAAAGTTTCACTTCAATAAGGAATCACAGACCACTTTGAAATTGCGTGTCGTATTGCACTTCAAATTGACCCTCCACTTATATTTGGTTACTATTCAGTTCATGTTGAACTAAGGCAGATCATGAAGTGCGGTTTGTTGAGGGTTCGCACTCTAATTCATCCGGTGTTAGTGACTCTTTGTTCGGCTTCAGTCTACCGGAAGTCACACTGACATGACCGACATTTAACCACTGCGTTGCACACGTTTTTCGCCGTAGTCGATGAGCTATTGGAACGGCTGCGCAAACGCATTTGGACAGATACACGCCCCATTTCTTCATGCTGGCCAATCATCCCATAATTTCTCTGGACCTACACGGAGGGACTTCGTCAATATTTCGCTCCCTCATGCTTCCGTTTAGTTAGAGATAGCCTGTTGGGATGCCATCGGCGTCCACTCGACAACTTGGGGTGTTAGCTTCACGCTTCCTTTGTGTCTAATGTTTGAAAGCCCACGCGACACTGGCATTTGATGTTTCGTACGAAAAGCTTGTGTGCATGCGCACGCCTTTCCACCGATTTCGGACAACCTTCGGATACGGAGACATTTACCCGTGTGTCTGTGCCTGTCGACTTTCTGGATACGTTTGCTCACTGTCCATCCTGAAAACCATATTGTGGAAGCAAGTAGAAATGGGAGTCTGTGCAACTTCGTCTAAATATCATCGAATACTTAAAAATGCAAACTATGACTTATCAATACCCTCATCATTTCTCACATGTAGCTCACAGTAAGTTGCAACTCAAAAATGTGAGATCACAGTGGGTACTCGTTTTCGGAATCTAACATTTAAGAAATGCATATCCAACAATCGTTTGAACTGCTGCCAAGTTTGCTTTCACCACATAATTCGGCGAACTACTCCAGGCCTTTCGCACTCCCCGTTCAAACCACATGGGATAGAGAACAGGCTTCTGATCTGGAACAACAAGCATGTACTGGTGAAGCTGTAAAAAGTCGAATCCATTCGGCAACCGGGATCTCTATACTGATATGAATCTACGTTGGACTCATAAAAATGGTAAGGAGCAAAGAACAATTTGTTTACCTGACAATAGCTTGTATCCTCTCACAACACCGAATTCCATTACCGGTTTCGTAACGCTTTACGCCTTTCATGTGGAGATAGCAAAACCATGATTTAACCGCTAGGTGTAAGAGTTGTCAGGTTAAACCTCTATGCCACCTACTTGCGAGTAGCGTTTGTCACAGCTGTTAATGACTCTTTGGGTGGGAGTCAGTTTGTGGCAGGCAACATCTAACGTTTATTTTTGATGCGGTCCCAGTGACTGAAATGGCTGAGCGTTAGTTCAATGTAAATCTCCCATCAAATGCAGATATCCGTCGCAATCTGTTCACATAACGAGCCCATCGATGAAATTGCGCAACTGTTGGCCACATGTGCGCGAAAACAATGCCCATTAGTAATGACGTGTATTTCTCGTGCTACTTAAGCAGAGATCCCTTGTACTTTCTTTTTGTCTCATTGCAATGAATTACCCGCATACATGTCCTAATTGCCGAGCGCTGCTCCACTAGTGAACTAATTGTTTCAGGAGTGCTCAATGGGGTATGTTGTTTCCGTCCCTGGGCTCTTTTTCTATTGAGGACAAGCAGGCAGCTATCTTAACGGCCTATGGGATTTAGTAAACCTGCTTTTACTACATATGGCTGTTTATGCTCTTACCCAGGCAGTCCCTTGTTTCTGGGGAATGAGTTGATGGTTGCTGGAGCCTGCTTTTGGTTCATTGGTGCAGATTGAGAACTACACCGCTACAAACTCTGGAGAGTTCTGACTGTATGGATATGCTTATCCGCGTTGGGCATTAAATCGGCTTCCTCTTTCTCAGTCGGTCCCTCCTTCAGATTATTTTTCCTTGTTGCTTGACCGCATTCTTCATGAGTACATCGAAATTCATCGTTTACTCCCTTGCAAGTAACCTGAACACCCAGTTCTTTGAGATGCACGGGCGAACATATTGGGATTCCCTGTATGAAGCTGCGACGCGGCCACCAATGGGGTCTCAGATACTTAAAAACACCCATCCATACTAGCCACCATCTCTTGTAGTTCATCCAAAACACATGCCTAAGAGGCCATCAGTTTACTTTTGCCACAGTACAGCCGACTGGAATGTAGACGAAATATTTACTCCCTCAGAGTGTCAAGACTCTGCAACTTCTCCCAGCGCATGTAATTAATACCTCAAATTCCCACTATTCAAAAAATACCTTGGCAGTGCGCTGACATATTTACTGCGTAATATAGCCCTGACCATCAAATGATGGTATTGGTGCAGAACAAACTGAACATTATCGGACTCTCCTTAAACTCCAGGCAGGAGTATTCACATCCGTGCTACTGCAAACCGTTTAGATAGTCGTCTTGTGTCTTCTGTTATCGGCACTGTGTTTCTATCCTTTAATTTTCACCCTAACCATCAACACACACTTGACGTGCGTGCTCCCGGGTCATTTGCAATAATCCTCTCTATCTTCTCGCAGCGTAGTCACCGTACGCTCATTTGAACCGCATTTACAAGCTCTACACATTGACCCATCATACGTGGAATTATCTTTTACTACTAAAGTCCTAAACATTTCTAACGGATTTGACTGTCATCCGTGATTGAACTCAAGCGGATAACTCATTCACCTTGTATCCATTGCTCTTCTGTGCAACACCATTCGGTACAGACTTGTCGAGGCAGTCCGAAAAGCCTAAGCTTATTTCAATCGGGTGTTTCTCAACGCATCTGTGAAGAAATTTGTGGTCTCCTATCTGTGTTCAGCGTTGTGTTTAGATACATTTTCTAGGTCCCAAGTCAGCCGGGCCTAACATCGATCGTTCAACCAACCGACAATGCAACGTGTACTTACAAGGGATCACCGTTGACAGCGGGCGCTCCACGCTGACTCACGCTTATCATTGACGCGGGAAGCTGCACTAACAGATCATCCGACAAACGCGTGACCTTAAAACTGCACACCCTCGGCGAACATGTCTCACATTAAGAGCACGTGTGAGTTGTGTTTTAAATTGGTGAAGAGTGGGCTAGTTTGCAGCAGTTGTTTGGGAATCCATCACACAAAATGCCTTTGGGCGGAGCCGATAAAAACGAGATGTTACGATGACACGACAGTGGCGTTTCGGTTCTGCCCAGTATGCAGTGCTGTCCCAGTTGTTAGCTGTCTAACTGTGCTACTGATGAAGTGTGAAAG